TTCAGGAACATGGCTTAACTTCTCTGAAATTCCAATTTTAAATTGTGGAATAACAGATTTATCTGTGTCATTCTTGATGTTCCTTCTACCCTCAAACACTTCCATTGACATATTATCAAAATTTTTATTGGCCCCACCCAACCCCTAAAAGCCAACATTATCCTCAATAGCCCTAGAATTTTTAAGAGTCAATATTTATAATTTCTATCATTTGTTTTACATTCACACATACAATGACATCTCATTTATGTTTATCTTGAGAATAATCATCTGTTCTTTTACCTATTTTAAACTCCCTTTACCAAAGGAAATTCAACTAATAAGAGAAAACAGATAAACGTTACACAGATAAGCACTTAAGAGAAAAAGGAACTTTAAATTGAATAAGCATACTCTATCATAATACAAGGGGGCCTAGAATAATCGCAGTGACAAGATTCAGGGTTCTCATGGTGCCACCTAGTGGACACTTGCACTAAATCCTATTTTAAATTTAAAATTACTTTCAGTTGGGGCGCCTGGGTGGCTTAGTCGGTTAAGCGTCCGACTTTCAACTTTCGTTTAGGTCATGATCTCGCGGTTCGTGGGTTCGAGCCCCGCGTCGGGCTCTGAGCTGACTGCCAGCCCAGAGCCTGGAGCCTGTTTCAGAGAGAAAAATTTAAAAAAAAACATTAAAATTACTTTCAGTTAGGCTTTGGGTATTTTTGTCATCTTACACTACTTCATGTAGTGCAGAGACTTCAAGTTTGTCTGAAAAATAGATTTAGCCTATTCAGTGGTGAACCAACTTAAGAATATTCCTTTTTAAAATGATCCTGCCTCAAAGCATCAAGTTTAAATCAACCAAATAAAAATAATACAAATAATAAAAAGAAAAATATAATAATAAAATGGCATTTTGATACAGAAGATTTTTTCAAACTGAAATAACTATACACCTTTCCAATTAGTCTCCCCTAATGTTTTAAAACTAATCAAAATTATTCCGTTTAATTCAGTTTACCTCTAATCTTCAAGATTTACTGGAAAGAATTCTCACCCTACCATCAAATAAAAATACAAAGCCTGAACTGAGAGTGATTTTAGAGATCCCTTACAGAGACCAGCAACGCATACTATTCTCAAAATGTACGTCTCATTTACTCTAAAATACCTAATTCAAGACAGCTTAATAGATCCTTACTTGTATCTACAATTGCTACAACTGAACACCCAGGGAGCTCTTAATCCACAATTTACAGGCCACTAAAAAAAAAAAAAATAGTAGATCTGGCTACTCCCAGGAGACATTTGAGACTATTCCCTCATGAGATCTTACACATAAGAAACTGACCTCTCAGTTTCTATTTGTGATTACGATCATCTAATTATTTTCTCTGGTTTGCTGCGTACACCTGGAAAATGTCCCTCCCACAAGTGCAAAGGAAATCAAGTCACGTATTAGGAAGAGGAAATGACACAGGTTACCAGATGAGAGTCTACCAACATCAAAGGCTCCAATATCAAGAACATCATGGCAGTAAAGCAACCTACATCCTTCAAACGGGCCAACAGATGAGAGAAACATGTCAAGCAGCTCAATTCCCATGCACCATTTTGGCCAGGTTTCCACATATCTCATAGTAACTTCATAGATAAGTTTAATCAAATGAAAAGATGCAAGTTTAAAAAGGAACTAAGATGTTAACAATCAAGTAAATCTTCTTTCATCTTTAAAAATATATATATTGAATAATTTCTCTCGACAAGGGATATGAAAAGTAACCAGGATTTCATTTTAAAAACACAAAACAATATAAACTTTTTATCTAAAAACCTACTGAATAACTTTATATTTCTCAATTTCATATTAGATAAAATATACTTACCAGTTAATCACCAAATGATTGGTTTTATGGAACCTTAAAGGGGTTTCCTCTATCCCATTACAATCAAATAATGGTAATTTTTTTTTAAAAGTCATTAATCCAGCTCTTTATGTTTTCCTCAGAAAACTTTCCTTCAAGGTAAATGAAGACCTGTTGATTGCATTTTTATGGTACTAATAAAAATAATGATTACTTAGCCTCTACATCTGTTCTCTGAGAGGTGATAGACTTGCCATGTCATTCTAACTCCACTGAAGGACCTTGAAACAGCAGACTATACATTAAGATTTGCCCCTCTGGCTCATTTCACTGGCAAACTAAATCACAAGTGTGAAAAATGAATACACCTTTGAAACACCATTTAAAATACTACACTCAGAGGAGATGTTATGGAGTGAATCACCTCCTCACATTTTGGCTCTAAATCCAAACCCCGAGCGCTTGCCACCATAATCCCTCTACAGCCCTGTTTCGCCGCCTACCTGTGGGGCTTGGCCGGCTGCCAGCTTCCCCAGCAACTTTGCCAGCAGAGGCCCCCTCCCTTGGTTGTCTCTGGGGTTTGCAGAACTTTTGGTAGGAAAGTACATCTTGCACTTACCCAGGGTGCCTGACAATCTCTTGATATTTAAAAGTCATTTCCCCTCTCAAATAACAATGAATTTGCAAGCTGTTTGACACTTCGATCTATATTTGTCAACAAGGTGCCTTTTGGCAGGACTAATTAGTCAGGCGTAAAGGCTTTTAAAGGGAGGGGTACAAAAATCTAAGCATTAAGTGCCTTCCCAGTTCCACATTTTGCATTCTTCATGGATCACAGTGTGTTTCAGAGATGGTAATACAGTTGGAAAACTAAATATGCATAAAATGTCAGTATTACTTTTAGATAGCATAAGTCTTTTCTGGTGTGTTTTTTTTTTTAATGTTTTATTTATTTCTGGGGGGGGGAGGGAGAGAGGGAGGGAGAGAGAGAGAGAGAGAGAGAGAGAGAGAGAGAGAGAGAATCTGAAACAGGCTCCAAGCCAGCACAGAGGCCAACTCAGGGCTCGAACCCACAGACCGTGAGATCATGACCTGAGCCAAAGTCAGATGCTTAACCAACTGAGCCACCCAGGCACCCCTTTTCTGGTGTTTTTAACAAAAAGATAGCCCCTAATTTCTCTCATAAAAGCATATTCCTGAAAGACAAATCCTTTCGTGGGGTGCCTGGGTGGCTCAGTCAGTGGGGCGTTGGACTCTTGGTTTTGGCACACGTCATGATCTCATGGTTCATGAGGCCAAACCCTGCATGGGGGTGGGGAGGGATTCTCTCTCTCCCTTTCTCTCTCTGCCCCCACATTTTAACCCTGAACAGTCTTCCATGTTTTAGAACACTATCCCAAGAAAATTCATTCCTAATAATAATGCTCCTCCTCTTCTCTTCCAGACTATAACAAAGGACAGAAGACCTCTGTATCATTCCCATCCATGATGACCTTACACTATAATAGGTTCCTGACATATATGTCTCCCACCGTGGCTGACTCTCACCTAGTAAAAAAGGCTTAATATGAATATCAAAAAAATATAAAAATCTCCAAATCACGTAACCTTAGATTCCTGTAACAAAACACAAAAGGAGAGAAACTAAGAAACATTCTAGAATTTCTAAAAACTACTCCTTGTTGAACAAGCTCCTAGGAATCTTTGTAAACTTGTCCACTATTGGATGTCACCAACTCAGCACATTTATAGGGAGAAAATACTCTCTCCCTCTTCTCAGGAACAGAGTATCTCTGAGGCAACAGCCAGATCTGGTTATCTCAAATAAGTTACCTTCCAAGGAAACTAGATCTAGAAACAGAATCACACTGGGGTCCCCAGCAGGGGGACCTTTTCCAAAACCTAGCAAGGGTCACAGATCAAAACAGGTCACAGGAAAAAAGGTATTTGTTTTTCCCAAAAAACATAATGGATTATAAATATGTAAATGTAAATAAATTAAAAAATTACTGTGAGCAATGTTTTTCTATGACTTTGGCTGATTTATGATTTCATATGGAGCCAAAGGTATTGAGGATCCAATGGAAACCCCTGGGCCTAAGGTGCCCATACACAACACAGAACACTAGGTGTAAGGGAACAGACTTTGCTTTTAAGTCAGTGGGAACCACCGTGAAAAACAAGAGCTAATCACTTTTCAGTGTGGCAGCACCAAAAGATTCAGCCTACACAAAGAATGGGGATTTGCTGCTCCTACCAAATTAAGATGCCGATCTACTGCAATAAATCTATTGCATGACATCAGTACATGCCCCCACAAAAATACCACTGCAGTGAGATCGTGGCTACCTCCCATATGAGAGTCATAAGCATCCTCCTCTACCATAAACTGTTATTCATGAAAGAGATCAAGAAATAACTAGTCTATGAGTTTACTTTTATATAAAACAAACCTAAGCTGCCTCAAACAAATCTAAATACCTATTTCTAAACACTCTCCCTCCCTGTCTCCAAATATTATTCTTTAATTCCAAAATCTTCCCTGGAAGAAAACTAGCTAAGGAATCTAAAGACCAAAATGTATGTATTTTAAATCTTCATAAAAATTCAAGGATGGCTTAACAAAGGAATAAAACAAGTGATTAAGCTTTCTTGAATTAAGGTGATTAAAATTTCAAAAAACTGTTTTGGTTTACACTCATGTTATTATAAAACATACAAAAGACACTAAAATTGCCTTAGGTTTACTCTTTCTAGGAACATGACTAAACTTTTAAAGCCAGCTTTGAAATTAACTGTCTAAAAGCCAGATATGCTAACTAACTTTAGCAAGGTATTCTTATACTACACATTATAAATTCTGAACACTTATTATGCCCTATTTCAACAAATCTGCCATTAATTATAGGATAAATCATTATTTTACATATCACTAAGAAAGAAAAAAGCTGTCAATTAAACGTAAGAAGGTATCATCAACTCAGTATCAAGCACCGAGTATTAGTGATACTAAAATGTGAAGAACAAAAAGCATCTTAGAATTGGTGAAATACTCTCAAATTCCTACGGCCATCTATTTCTTTGCAATTCAAACAGATTTATAGTTTTCTGCAATCAAAACCCCTGCAATGGAAAAAATTTAAAATATCCTACCTTCAGTACTACACTCAGGAAAGCTATCAATGAGGGAATCCGAATAAGCTTCGGCAGGTCCAATCAATTCAGAACCATCATTAACTATTCCACCCTAAAAAGAGAAGAGTAATTGTGTTTCATTGTCAGTAAGGGTATTTTTTAAATGAGTAACAAATGAACAATAGTTATCTCAACTGAGTACATATAAGGATTACAGAAACCATTCATCTGTTAAACTAGATTACATCTGCTTTTTAAAAATCAATAGGAATATCAATATTGATTCATCAACTATAAGAAATGTACCACACCAATACAAGATGTTAATAATAAGGGAATCTCTATGAAAAATAAAGGGGAAATACAGAAAAGCACTATATTTTCTGCACAATTTTTCTGTAAACTAAACTACTGTAAAAAAACAATCTATTATTAAAACTAGTGTTTAACCTATTAGAATTCAAAAGGAATATTATCTTTATGATATCATATGGTTTTTTATAAAAGCATATTTATAAAAATCTATCAAAAGTACTCATTTAAAAAATGCAAAGGGGGGAAAAACACCCACCAGCTAAAGATTGTTACTCAGCATCCTTAGTGCTTGGTCATATTAATTAGTGATAAATGATGGGACTCCATTAGAAGTCATTTAATTTTACCAAAATAAACACTCATAGAACCCCAGTGATTCCAGAAGTACCTTAAATTTGAAAACTATTTAGACATAATATAAAACTAAACAAATATAAGATATTTGTATTAAATACATTTATTTAGTGTACTTAAATAGCACACATTTTTTAAACATTTATTTATTATTTTTGAGAGACAGAGAGAGACAGAGCACTAGCGGGACAGCGGCAGAGAGAGAGGGGCAGAGAGAGAGAGAAGCAGGCTCCAGGCTCCAAGCTGTCAGCACAGAGCCTGATGCAGTGCTTGAACCCCATGAGATCATGACCTGAGTTGAAGTCAGATGCTTAACAGACTGAGCCACCCAGGTACCCCAAAGCAAAATATTTTTAATAAAGGTAAAATGGTCCCTCTCAAATTATCAAACTTTACTTCCCAGAGTATTAAATGAACCGAAACCTTAAAAATTATTCCCTTTAAAAGCATGAATTTATACACTTTATTCTATTTATTAAAATATTCAAATCACAGTTTGTATCTGAAATTTTCTCCTAAAAAGAAGTCTCTATTACAGACTAAGCCATAAACCTAATCTTAAGAAAATCTGCAAGTATTCTGAGAATTTCACCAGACAAAGATCATTTTATTTACAATCTCAGTTTACAGAAAGTGCCTTTCAACCATTAACTACCTCTTCTACTACCAGAGATGTGGACTTTGTTACCTATCTATAAAATGGAAATATTATTTATAGCTCCATATGTTGTTAGGACTAAAAGATTTCATACATGTAAAGTGTTTAGAACAACATAAGCATTCATTTTTTGTTAATAATATTAGCTGATATAAGATGTTTATAAGATTAAATAAAAACAGAATACTAAAGAATACAAAAAAACTGTTTTAGCTCATAATCTTACAGAAATTTTATTTACTTCATTTAACAAACAATATTATACAAAATAAATAATACAGAATAAATCTTTAATTAAATAAAATAATAACTGTTGCATAGGAACTCGAGGAAAGTAGTAGAGAAATATGCCACAATTCTATTTTAATCTCTACATTAAATCTCTAGATTAACTGCTATTTTGATCTCTCGATCAAAAACATTAATCACTTGGTGTTCTTTACTATGCAGGAGAAAGAAATTTATTACTCAGCATCTCAAAGTTTTTGTTAATGAAATGTCGATCTAGGGGTGAAGGAGTTTTCAGGTATGATGGAATAAGTAGATCAGCAAGTGCTCTCCCCAAAAGACAATGCTATAACTGGAGAAAAATGTCAAAACAACCATCTGAGCGCTCTGGAAACTGACCAAAAGCATATAACAAATGAAGAAGTGGTTACCCATAAAAAAACACAAAACCACAGGTAAGAACTGTGGGAGTCTGTGGCATTCTAGCCTGGGGTTGCCCCTACCTTCTGTCCCAGCTGGGTTGCCATGGTAAGTATACAAGGGCAAGGCAAGCCTTGAAATTCAGCAGATTCACTTGCAGAGGAGGCGAGCATGATTTGGACTGCAGCACAGAAGTCCACCCTAGACAGCATTACCAGTGACAGTAGCGATCCCAGCGCCAGTGCATAGTGGCTCAGCAAGCGTGAGGTGGCAGCAAGCAAAGCACCAGCGTATTAGCCAGACATTCCACGGGGAGTTACAGAAAGTCCACAACCATAGGGGTTCTCGCCCATCCGGGAGAGACCTGAGAGGAATCAAGCTATCTGCAAATCCCCGGCAAACCACAATGGTGCCTGCACATTGTGGAAATGCAAAAGGTCTCAAAGGAAAGGAAAATCCAGGGCAAACTTAAAAACTGCTTGAACTCTGAACTCTATCAAGAAACATCAGCATATGGAAGAAGCATATAATGGAAGACAGTGTTTAAATACAAAGACCAATCACTGGCTGACCACTAAGCTATGCTGTTACAGGGCTAACCCCTGATTAGCCAGGTTTAAAAATACAATAAAAATTAAAAATTGAGTAGAGATATCAGCAGTCACACACTGCCCATTAAACAGATTCCACGGATTCAGTACGGACATTCTACTAAACATGCTAACAAAATAATGCTAACAACCCTCAGGGTAAAAATCAAAACTCAGATCTGCTATATTAACCAAAATTTCCAGTTTTCAACAAAAAAATTATGAGACATACAAAGATACAAGAAAGTGTGTGCTCCATACACGGGAGGAGTAGGGGAAGTAATCAGCAGGCATTAACTCTAAGGGGCAAAGAAATTGGACTTAGAAAGCCAAGACTTCGAAACCACTATTTATAAACAAGTTAAATAACTGAAGGAAGTCAAAGAATTTTTTTTATTTTTGAAGTGTTTATTTAGTTTTGAGAGAGAGACAGACAGGGCACGAGTGAGGGAGAGACACAAAGAGAGGAAGACACAGAATCCAAAGCAGGCTCCAGGCTCCAAGCTGTCAGCACAGAGCCTGACGCGGGGCTCGAACCCACAAACCATGTGATCATGACCTGAGTGAAACTCAGACACTCAACCAACTGAGCCACCCAGGCGACCCCGAAAGTCAAAGAATCTTTACAAGTATGATGTATATGGGCACCTGGGTGGCTCAGTTGGTTAAGCGTCCGACTTCAGCTCAGGTCAGGATCTCACGGTTCTTGGGTTTGAGCCCCATGTCAGGTTCTGTGCTGACAGCTAGCTCAGAGCCTGGAGCCTGTTTCAGATTCTGTATCTCTCTCTCTCTCTCTGACCCTCCCCTGCTCATGCTGTCTCTCTCTCTTTCTCTAAGAAAATAAATAAAATATTAAAAAAAAAAAGTATGATGTGTATGACTCATGAAAGCAAACGTAAACAAAATAAATTATAAAAAAGAACCAAAAGAACCATTATTCATATGAGCCAGAAATGTAGAGAATTTAAATGTCCATCAGCTGATCAACAGATAAACAAAATGTGGTATAGTCATACTTACCTAATGGAATATTACTTAGCCATAAAAAGGAATGAAGCCCTGATACATGCTGCAACATGGATGAAACTTGAAAACACTAAGCTATATGAGAGAAGCCAGATGCAAAAGGCTACTGTATGATTCTCTTCATGTGAAATGTTCAAAACAGGCAAATCCATCAAAACAAAAACAAAACAGATTAGTGGTTGCTAGAAGTTAGGGTGAGTGGGGAAGGAGGAGCAGGCACTAACCGGTCTAAGATTTCTTTATGGGGAAATGAAAATGTTCTGGAAATAAATAGTGATAATGGTGGCATAACTCAGTGGATATACTAAAAAAATCACTAAAATTTATACTTTAAAGTGGTGAATTTTATTTTATGTGAATCTCAATTTTAAAGAGAGAACCAGAGGGAAATCATAAATCAAAAGCCATAGGAACAAAATGCAATCAATTTGAGAAAGATGAATAATGAATGAACTTAAAGATCAACAGTTAACTACCCAATATGAAGATCATAGGGGGGAATAAAGATCTAATTAACAGTAAAGAGAACCAGAGAGCTATAAAGGTAATATTAAGCATATCAACTTACATGTTCTAGACATGAGACAGAAAAAAAAGCAGAGAAAAAAGCTGAAGAGATGAGAAAGAAACTTTCAAACTCTGATGAAAAATAATAATCTACAAATACAAGAAGATAAATTAAATCCCAAATAGGACAAACAGAAAGAGATCAACACTGTGAGTCACACTGTTGAAAAACAAAGGCTAAATTCTAAAAGCAGCAATAGAAAAAGACTTATATAACAGAATTTCTGTAAAATTAATTTCTGACTTCTCATAAAGAACAATGAAAACCAAAATGATAAATTCAAAATGCTAAAGGAAACACTGGTAATCAATAATTCTACATATCCAGAAAAACTCTTCTTTAAAAATGACGGGTAGGAATGCCCAGTTAGCTCAGTCAGTTAAGCATTCAACTTCAGCTCAGGTCATGATTTCACAGTTTGTGAGTTCAAGCCCCGCATCAGGCTCTGTACTGACGGCGTGGAGCTTGCTTTGGATCCTCTGTCTCCCTCTCTCTCTGCCCCTCCCCTGCTCGCACTCTCTCTCTCTCTCTCAAAAATAAATATATATTTTAAAAAATGAAGGGTAAACAAAAATATTTCCAAAGACTAAGAAGAATCTGTTTCTAGCAAACCCGCCTTACACATGCAAAAAGAGAAACTACAGTAAATCCTTCAAGCTCTGACAACATACAGTAATTCAAATCCACCTGAATAAAGAACACCAAAAAAAGAAAAATATGAGGGTAAATACAAATGACTATATAAATACATATTCTTCTCTTTTCTACTCCTAACTTCCTTAAAAGACATCAAACCATAAAACTATATTGTTGGGTGTATATTTGAGATATATCTATGATAATAATAACACAAAAAAGGAGGAATGAATAAAGCTTTATGGACCAAACTTTCCATATTTTACTAGAATTAATTTTAATCTCAAATAAATTGTCATAAATTAAAATGCATTATT